GGGCTTGCAGCAGAAGAAGATTTGCAACTATTTAAAAGTTTTAACACATCAAAATTATTAGAACGGTTCCACGTAAAAATATTTTGTGACGGGTAGGTAGGAAGGCTGTCCGATGAATGTCAAGTGGCATATTCGGATCAAAGAAACCAATGCCAGTCGTTTTCTGTTCATTGTCTACCAATCCCTCCACACCGGGGACACCATCAGTTTCAGCTTTTTCTGTTTTTACAACCATTAACCTTGCACCTTTGTGCGCCGGTTATGGTTGCTGTCTTTTGATCGTCTATTTGGATAAAAGAGCTGGTTGAAGACTGGAATGTTGAGAGCAAAGCCAAAGGGAAGTTACAGTTAATTCATATCATATGGAGTAGATACACCAGCACCACTGTTTGTGACACAATCAAAGTAGGCATTGGCATAGGAAGAATATCTGACACGTTATTGATGGTTCGAATTGCAACCACAAAACTATCCGAGGAACAGGAGTAGATTGTCCGGCTGAGATTTTATACCGCAATCGATTGAATACGTACGAAACTTGTGTAACACGGTCTTGAGTGCAGCTAAATGCGTGCAATATATTGGCTTCAAAAAAACGCTGTGCTATGCGAACAACTCCCCCCAATTGGACGTGGAAAACCACATGCTCGTGAAAAGCACTCTGTTCACGTGAATGGGACAAGTGGACGGAAATACTGACTCTTCAAAAATAGGCATTCACATCACCGGACTCCCTCCCCGCCCCTTCTCCTCCGCTCCGCCCACGTACTCCGGTGCATTGGATCGATAAAGTGGAGGCTCGGAGGAGGATGAAATGGACGCAAAGCAGAAACGGGAACACGTATCGTACAGGCCTAGACTCCAGCAATTCTCCGTGATCATACAGGAGGATTAGGTTACCGGGTTCCACAACCGAAATCAGGACACCTAATTCCTAACATATTGATTATATATGTCGAACTGAAGTGATTCGATCGCATTCACTGCTTTGGTTTCATAGACTAAAACGTTGCCATGCATAATGACCACCGATCCGGAAGACAACTGATGAGCTGCATTCCGTCTTCTAAAAAAGGGTGGAAATTATCCCAAGGATGGTGAAACACAATTATCGATCGCTTGCAATGAATGAGAGGATTGAATACTGCGAGAATCAAACCTTGGGAATACACACAGTTTGAGAGGCATTTTCTTTCAATCGTGATTTCAACCCGTAATCCAACTGCTTTGGCACCTCCTGGATTACTTTGACTAGCCACTCCCGCCCCTGGAGAGGTCACTCTAGCAAATAAATACGACTAGGGACAGTTCACTGGTTAAAAAACCGATAGATGGAAGTAGGAGAAGGGTACCTGGGGCATTCTCTCGTTAGTGGGAGAAGTCTTCACACTTCTTTGGACAACTACCGCCCGCCCAAGCTGGGCAACTCCCAATCAATAAGGTGCTGTCCGATCCACGTCCCGATTGTCTCATTTGGTGCATGAGACTAAGGGGCGATCCCGAAAAGCGGAACGTCAACCAACGCACCAGCGAACAACACACTGAACCGACATTCAAATGCCTTACTTGATAGGTCTCCAGAAGCTGCCACACAGGGGCTTCGTTCACGCTCCCGCGTTGTATCTACGCCCCACCGCCTTGTGCGTCAAACTTTTGAGTCGAAGGTTCCGGCTGGGGTTTCAAAAGAAAAATCCCTTCATCGGTGTGGGCTACCGTGAAGTATGCCGTGCCCCAAAGTCTTATGTATCCATTTGGAAAACCCTCTTTCTATCCACCTTCTCTTCTCACTCCCAAACCTTAGGAGATGCATCCTGTTTACGCCACCCATGGGATAACACTCAGCGTTCAACTAGTGAGGTCAACCACTCAGAGGCTATCAGATTTTTGAAACCAAATCTTCTTTTCACTTAGCCGCACTGCTGACAAGTACCAAGCAGGACGAAACAACTGTCCAGTAATCTTTGTTAGTTATCACAAAATTTTCCACCGCAATTCATTTGCCAGGATAATTTACTTACAGTGTTGTATCGAAGTGGAATTTGCTAACTCGGTTGATCGATTAAGTTCGGTACTGTGTATTTTGATTACATCTAACGGGAGTGGGTGGTGAACATTTCGTTTCGCATGTTACTAATATTTGCCAAAATGTTACGCTCTGTATCAAAACAGGCTCCGGTTAGGCTTGCCAAAGGAAACCCCCTTCGTCGATGTGGTCTACCGCGAAGTTTGTCGTGCCCTAAAGGCCTAGGTATTTGGGATAGTTTCAAATACTGAAGTGAACTCAGGAAACGTTACAAGTAACCACTATTTTTATTACGATGAACAGGTTGATTGTTCTAGATTGAATAATTTCTGGCCGACTTTAGATAGATTACACTGCGTTTGTGCTATTGATGAAGACATTCTTTTGAAGCACACAGTTGTGAATATAATAATGCCATTACATGTTCCGCTTGTGCTTTCTCTCGAGAAAGCAAATATGAAATCATGAGGGCAACACGATAAATTGAGGGAATATGGAAAATAAACATTACTAGGAAATTGAATTAATTGACTCAGTGTTCATATACCAACTGATTTCAACATACGTCAGTGCATTATTTTCAGTCAGTCAGTGGGTCTATCAGTCAGCCAGTCAGTCAGTTAGTCAGCTGCAGTCAGTCAGTCAGTCAGTCAGTCAGTCAGTCAGTCAGTCAGTCAGTCAGTCAGTCAGTCTGTCTGTTTGTCTGTCTGTCTGTCTGTCTGTATGTGTCTGTCTGTCTGTCAGTCTGTCTTTTTCACTGTCTGTGTGGCTGGCTGGATTACTGTATGCCTATATAAAAGTTAAATGTACAACCCCATCATATTCGTGTGTAAACCGATTTCAAATGCAGGTGTATATTCCTCAAGCGCGGTCAAATGGAACAAAACATGCGGACTGGAAAAGCATAATAAGTGTGATAGGCATGATGAAATGGTTAGGACGGTTTAGGGATTGTCATAAATAAATTTCACTAGATATGTTCACAATTCAACACCGTTTTTCATTCACGATCTTTCAATTCATGTCAACTCTGTTCCTGACATTTGTACTCACGTGTACATGAGCATATCTTCAGCTAACAACAAGCGAGCGTTCGTTCCGTTACTCAGTGTGATATGAACTCTCAGGTAACGGAATAAGTAATCGTGTACACTTACACCCTGGCTCCGTCAGGTACGTGAAAACCTTGAGCAATCAGTTCGGCCCGGTCCGTAAATACCGGTTTAATTTGAATGCCCAAATTCTCTCCGGGATTGGTGTTCATTAACCGGACAAGAACTGTACCCGGTTGTAGTTTTTCATTGCCCATTTTGTCCTCAGTTTTGCTCAACACTCCGGGACCGTGGTCATGAAGTGTTCGACTGGACTGATTGGATACGGTCGACACGCTCGCACTGTCCGGGATGGTGTTTGTGTTTGAGCTTCCACCACCAGCAGATTCGCTATCCGAGCCCGGAATAGTCACGGCAACTTGGGTTGACTCAAGCCAACGCAATACGGCCGGTGAATCCATGCCGGTTCGTACAGGTGCAAATGATCGATGCATATCGTGTGGACTGGTAGACTCCTCAACGGCCACGTGGAATTCACGACGAATCCCGGAGCCGGGAACTTCGGGATCATGCGGAACGGGGTCGAAAGCGATTGGACGTTCCGAACTACGAACAATAACGGTACTGGTCTCAGATCGATCATGACTGATAATGGAAAGGGTGGTGAATTGACAGAATAATAATCAAGATTGATGGTTAAATTTTATTGATTTTCATCGATAATTGAGATAGGAGTGAAACAATGAAACAGATGAACATTCAGTAGCCATATAGACAAAGTAGAAGCAATAATCAAGCGAAATTACATCAGGATTCTGGAAAGCAAGGACATACCAAAATTATTTATAACCCGAGTGAGTTTAGTTCCGAAGCGATGCGATCTGGATTGGCGAGAAGTTTAGCAAGGTCAGTTCAGTTCAGTGCGATGGAAATGTATGTGATAACCAACAAAGTGCCTGGTGCCTGTGAAAAACCGAGTGGGCTAATCCAAACATTCAACATCTAAGTTCCGTTCAGTTCAAATAACCATTTAGCATGCATTTCCGTACGTCGATTTCAATTGCTGCCCTTTGGCTGCCCATTTGAGTGAACAATAGAAGGAAAACAAGATGGTTGAAAGTAGAATCGAAGAGAAAATTGCGAAATTCATTAGACTAATATTGCAGAGAAATTGGAAAGATGCAGGAACGCCACTGTTTACGACACTCAGCCGTATCACTCAGTGTCTCTTATCATCGGTGACCACCATCTCGGGGTCCCCACACAGGGAGCCTAACAGGACCTATGTGACCTAGACTCCTGGTTAGGGTTTTCATACCCTCACGCAAGGTCTTAGCTTGACCACGCTGGGCTTTATTCCACCCAATATCTGCATCGACAAACATCGTTCGCTGTGGCCACCTATTTGGTGGCATGTGTAACACATGGCCCAACCAACGCAATCTATTGAGATCGACCACTTACTCCAGTGGACGACCGCGACTGCCTAAACCTCTGCGCCTAACCTCAGCATTGCTTGTCCGGTTACCCCACCAGACTCGTGCAATACGACGTAGACAACGGTTTATTTATTCCCAATGGACCAACTGGAGAGAACAAATAGTTTACAAAATTAAAACAAAGTATCATTGTTCGAACAAGGAAGCATTTATAGCATTAGAATCTCACAAAATGGAACACTGTTCAGATTAGTTCTAACGTATACAATACCACCAACCCCTTTTTCTGCTTTTGTGTTAATGGCTGACTATCCACCCTTGATGTGATGACCAGTGTCAGGTTGGCTTAAGAAATTGATAAACAACAAATTTGAACACTGGGGTAGTTTGTTTCCGTTCTTCTTGTGAAGTGCCAGGTTTGATTCCCAGTTGGATCGCACTGTTGATTAGACCTAACCCAGCTGCCCAGTGCTTCCTGGCTTTGTTCTATGCACGTCAAAGGTTACCATACGATCAAACCCAATCCTTTGCCACTG